ATTACCACAAAAAAGGCGAAGTGACTTTTCACTTGCATTTTACCACATCAAAGTACAAAGGTTACGTACAAAAATGTACATTTTAAACAGCTGACGGGGAGGGCTTTCTCTCGAGGAAACTTGAAAAGGAACGTCAAGAAATAAGCTAAAATAATCTCCGAATAAGAAAGATATTTTACTGACCAATCCAGCATTCCATTCTGGCACAAGGGGAGGTTTTTACGACGTCGGGGGGATCCACGCCGATGTTCAAACACAACACCAAAGCTACGCTCACGGTTTTCATCTAAAATCAAAATCACGAAGCTACATGATTAGAATAAACCAAAGGGCAAAGTGTACCACACCATGAAAAGGAATTAATCCCTTAAAATAACTCACTCGCTCTTTCATTCGCCATGTTTGTGCCAAAGGCCTCGATCCTTCGATCACCTCCTTGTGTCGCTTTTTCATAAAACATAGGGGTAGTTGCCAATCTACTATCTCCCCTTCATCCTCATCGCAGAAGAAATCGTCGTATTCTGTGTCATCAGCTGACATCTTGGAAAACTCTACTTAGCGACTCTTGGAAGTAGAGGCCCCAAAACACTAAAAACATCCATTTTCAAAGGCTTCTGTTATGGTACATATTGGTAGTAAATGTGAAACACAACGTGTTAGCCGGTTCTCTTCCCAGAAACACTCATCGACTGCGCATGCTTATGTTTATGTTTTCATCACTGCGAAAACAAAAATCGCGGGCCCTACCAGACCCCACTCCGTCTCTTCACATCTTCGAGATTATTATGCATTGTACGCACTCAATGTCTTCTCATTGCAGGGGCACCCAGCGACTGTTTTCTGTAAAATATCTGTTCGAAGACGCAAATATTGCCTAGAATTTTCTTTTGCTTCAGGACGGCTAAAAATTTCTAGATGAACGTTCCAGTCATGTACAATTTCCAAAGCTTACCTAATAAATTCCCTACGATTTTCTGTAGTTTAATTTTTCATATCCTAACCAGTTTACACTATTTTTATTTTTATTTTTTTATAGAAAACGGAAACCTAAAATTTTCGGATTCTAAAATGTAATTGAGAGAGGAATCACAAAAATTCTCATTTTCGTAAAGCGTTAAATTGCACCTACAATTTTCGGAAAAATAATACTGAACCCCTTGTAATTTCGAAAAGACTCAAGTTCCCCTTGGATGACCGAACAGATAAAAATGATGTAGCGCTGCTTAGAATGCATTTCTAGAGATTTAAAAACACTCTGGATAGTCTAAAAAGTGATTTCAACATATTTTGGAGGAAACTGTCGTTGGGTGTCCCTGTCATTGGTTAAGAGCCACAGTTAATTTTGGAAATCAGTACAGCCTACAGTTATCTGCTGGCAGATAAAATTGTTATAACTCAAACTGCCAGCAGATAACTGACTAATCTGTATGCAGCGCGCGCAGTGATTGAAGGGCCAGGGCTTGAACATTTCTTTTCTGTGTTCCGTGCGGAAAAATTTCATGTGGACGTTAAAGAGGGGCCGGGGAGGGAGGGGAGGTCTGACCTAAACGTCCAGTTGACGTTAAGCGGGGGAAAAGTGAATATGTCGACGGCCCCTGATAGGATTCAGGTAAAAAGGTCTTGACAGAAACCGGAACAGGGCCGATGCGCATAATTCGAGCTTGGGAAACATTCAATTTCTCTGTCTCCTATCTGGTGGTCTATCTGGTGCTTTTAGGTTTATCTACTACAGAGAGCACTTAAATAAATAAATAAATAATAAATAACGATTTGCAGGTAGCACATCCACATAGTGGTTCTTCGTCTACCTGATTCGTGGTCGAATTGGAATTTGGAAATGTTGGTTTTTGAGGAGAGGGGAAAACCGGAGTACCCGGAGAAAAACCTCTCGGAGCAAGGGAGAGAACCAGCAACAAACTCAACCCACATATGGCGTCGACGCTGGGATTTGAACCCGCGCCACATTGGTGGGAGGCGAGTGCTCTCACCACTGCGCCACCCTTGCTCCCATTGCTTCCAACAGTTCGGCATTCCCTACAAAAGGTGGAAAACGCCGGAGGTCAAAAAGTACCCGTGTAACATTATCCCGGAACCGGATCGGAAAGAAAAACTTTCGGATTAGCTAGTGCATGTAGACCGTGTAGACGGAGCCTTTTTACTATATTAAAAGAAGGTTTAGCCGACTGTTGTTTTTGAGAGGCTACTGTATTTGTATTAGCCTGAATTTCATCCGATTACTTCGAGTCGTTATTACTCCTGTTGAGAGGAGAAAACGACTCGAAGCAATCGGATGAATTTCAGGCTATATTTGTATCTGCCCTGGGGGATATCAATCCTAGTCAGGAATTTTTTCATATTTGAAATCAGGAGCCGATCTGTTCACACCATGCCAAATCGCAAAACAGGCAACCCACAAAAACTAGGATCACTCATCGTTTCTTGGCAACGTATCGAAAACTACTTGATAAAAATCGTCTCGATTTAATTGCCTCTCGACTACGTATTCCGCAGTCCAATCGAAACCGTCTAATCAAGTAGTTTTCGATACGTTGCCCAGAAACTTGAGTGATCAAAAACTATGACTGTCTTATGGTATGTACCGCAATTTTATCCCGGGGGGTACTTTAGGAATTTCAGGGTGGTGATGTGCCGCTGGGACCCTGGAACCCTTAACCTATACCAGAGCTAGTTCAGCTAAATTTTGCTACTCTATACTAGAGTAAACTCCCCAAATCCTCCCTATCCTATCCTTCAACCAACTGATCAGTTTCCTGAAAAACGATACCCTATTCTAGACCCAAACTCTCTGATTTATATACCCTATCCTAGAGTAAACTGCTTGAAAACCATACCCTTCACAGCGGCACATACCTATATAGCCCATATATGGCAGTACCCACCCCCCCCCCGGGAATTTTATATACCCATTAGATCAATATAGAAGTATTTTTGCCTGAAAAATATTGTGCATTGTCATTCTTGTACCCGAAAACAGCGTATTTTAGCGATTTAGACATTTAATTCAACAAGAAATTCAACCGTTTATAAAAGTCATAAAAGGGTCCGGCGCCCGGGACATCACGTGAATTATATTAGCCCGACTAAACGGGAAAACGTGAAAATCACGAGTATTTTTTTGGCAATCCACCGCTACTGTCTGATAAGTTACTGTAGACCAAATAAATAACTCGACCCTTTTTTCCACATAGTGGCAAAATATTTACAAATATATGACCCTATGGAAATAAATTGTGACGATTAAAACTTACATGAAGCCGTTTAGTCATCGCAAAAAGGGTAACGAGTGAAAGAAGCGAAAAAAGCACTTCGTTTGAAATTATGAAAATTCAAAACTACCGACTATACAATCGAAAGTGCCAAGAAATATTGTCTCAGAATTCTGTCGTAAAAAAAACTGAAATTGAAAATTAGAAAAAAATCATTAGATTGATCACGATTGCCGCGAAGCACCGCCACTCAAATTCACCGGAATCGTGGGAATCATATCATTTTATACAACAATATCATGAATTAGCACGATCACCCACCGAAAGTAAACAATCACTTTACTGACAGTTTGTGATTTGGCCTGACTTGAGTTCTATGATAAAAATGGTTGCAGGAAACAATGTCTAATCTACACTATATAGAAAGCCACCTGAGGACCTATTCGGTAGGTGACAACGTGGAAAATCACAGAGTAAGGGGACACAGAATGATGTTGGCTTCTTTCTTTATCTTGCTCTCCCAGAGGATCCGACCTCGATCGAAAGCGAGTTTGCAAAAATCTGCGAGCAAATGCGGCAAGACGCTTCACAACACTAACCTGCCTGCAGAGTGTCCGGCTTTTCTCACTGCACTTCACCAGTTGTTGACAAATAAAGATTATTTTAAGGTGACTCAGGCGCGATATACCTATAATGCCTATTTCGGCCAAACAAACAAGAGTATATGGGGGAGGGGTCAGAGGAATGACTGTTCCCACAGGCATTGGCTTAAAATTCACCCAACCTCCCGTGAAACCTCCGCAACGATTAGTAATATTTGCTCGCAATCTTTTATAATATAAGAAGCTGTAGAGAGCCCCCGAAGCAGTTTGTGCAGGTTCCAATAGCTTATAAATAAAAAAATATATATTTTTTTATGGGAAGCTTTCGAATACTTATTGCGGGTATTGTGGTTTTCAGAAAGGTTCGTAGCCTGCAGACCTACTGTAGTTGAATTGTTACTTAAACAGGGACGTTCGGTTGATGAGTGATGAATGACACTTGATCAACCACTGATACTTCACGATTAACATTCATGGGGCTTCATTGCCGAAGATTGATAGGACCTGTGTTTGCATGTTAAAATAATGATGACCTGGAAGTGCAACCAAGCACGCAACAAAACAGGGTGTGGCAAACCCACGTGAAGATTGAGTACAGTTAAGGTTAGATGTGTCTAGAACATTCCCGAGTCACTACTGAGTCATACTTCTGAGAATGTGTTATGTCTTTCTTTGTGCACAAATGTTAAAAAACGAGCCAGTTTTTTTTTTGTTCAGCTTTCTCACGACTTCTCGGTAAAACCCCTGCCGCAGAGTATAGCTTATTTTGCGCGCTAGTATATGTCGACTTAACAATTAATGCGCAACTGGTCAAAGTTCAACAAAGTGCTGCCACTGAATTCTTTTCTAATTTGGTTTATTAAACATATTATACACCATAATTTTAAGTGCTCATCTATATACAGTAAATAAGTGATTGCATCAAATGGTGTAAAGCGATACGCCTCCAAAAACCTCAACACTACAGATCCTCAAAACCTCGAGAAGCCTGGCTATAAAAAGCGAATTATAAATGTGGTGATTTAATTTTATCCCTGTTTTCATTTTTTTCCCCTTATTTTAACCTTCGTTATCATACATAGCCATATGCAATAAAGATATGAATAAAATTTAAACCAAGGATAAAATTGAACCACAACATAAACATTCCGGCAGATTCTAGAACACAGAGAATTGGTTAACAAGAATAATCTCTCTTGAGGTAAAAATTTGGCTAAAATAGAAAGAAGCTGCTGATTGCAAGACTAGGACAGAAAATTAAGCTTGAACAAAAAGGCAGACTGTAATATTCCAAATTCAGCGCATATACAAAATAAGAACTTTTTGGTCAGAAGGAATACGGTTTGTTTAGACTTTTTGGAGATTTTGAAATTTCTCTCTAAAAAATTTACTCAGCCGTTGAAATAGCTGTAATATGTCGCCATATTCAGATGACACTGATTGCACTATTTCGGCCGCTAAGTGATGGCCTTTTCCGTTTCTTCCTCTGCTTCTTCAACAGGGTGTTTCTTCCAGAAGTCTTCAACTTTAAGAAAAATGTCGACAGCTTCCTGCAATCCCAGAATCATAACAGGCAGTTTCAATAGAGCAGTAATCGTAATTATTTTAGGACTGGGAACAAAAAAAATAAATCAGTAGATAGTAAAAACAGAAATAATAAGAAAAACTGATTTTCAAGAAAGTCATGTAGAAGGGGAACTAAAAACTCATGGGAGGCGTTTGAACTGTGATCTAAATTCATCAAGAGTACTGGTAGTTTATATTAGTTTTACTGGTAGTTTACATTAGTTTTTATTTGTAGTTTTAGCTTCTATTATCACCTTGTATATTTTTAGTGTTTTAGAGTTGGCGTAATGTCGCTAGTGGATGTTGCCGACAACTAGCGGTAAGCTGTTCTAATGCACAGGGCCCTGCTGCCGTAAAATGTGCACTTCATTTACAATCATCAGTACAAAGATGTAGAAAGGCAAGCGTACAATCGTGTTCTCACATATCTAGAATATCATACATCATAACTGCTGTAGTAACTAGGTGTTGGTGGACGAGTTTCACGCAGTACTACTTCTGCAATTTTATGAAGCGCGTGACACGATCCTTCAAATTTTGAAGAAAGGGCTGTCAGACCCAGTCCATACGAGTCCCGCGTTGTTGAAACTGCAGTTTTTTCGTACCCGCATTCGCCTGGACCGAGCCTTAAACCACCGAGGTTTAAAACAGATGCTTTTTTGGTCAGCGGGTTCACGTTAGAAGGCCGATTCGTGTAAAAAAAATATATTATAGGTTTCAAAAGTGGACGGGCCACTCAGGGAAAAATCCCCAGGGAGGAATCGGCAAACCAGGCGTGAAAGAACGCGATGGACGTGATTTTTCCTTTCACCCTCCCTTTCCAACACCTGTCACGACGGCTAGGGCGTGTAAAAATATAAACAGATACACTTACATTTCTCATTTCTCTCTGGTATTCCCTTAATTCTTGAACTTCAGGCTGTTTGCGAACCTGTTATCAAAATGACGACATTTTGATCCGGTTTGGGTACATAGAATGCATTTTTAAGGCGCTGACAGGGAGATGGGGTAACTCAGGTAGAAGGGCAGGGTGACCCTCCTGTTTATGGATAATGTCTCAATTGATTTCAAACACGTTAACGTGATAGTTGAGGCAACACACTGGGGCAGGTTGCCCACTCTGCTGGGACAGGATCTGGGACAGGGTAATTAACCCTCCCAGCCGGGAGCTAGGTATGTTTCAGTTGCTGTAACCCGAATTTAAAGTTTGCTGTTTGCCATAAATTTGAGTGTCCCAAAATTATCTGGATGTACTTAGGAGGTCTGAACCTCTACAACTTCACCCTGGACCTGTCACTAGTGCTAGAGTATGTTTTTGCATCTGTAATCAACAAGAGACCTTTTCACTAAAATATGAAGTTAAAAATTCTCCATGGGGGAAGAAAAGACATTTACTTTGACAAAAGAAATCCAACTTGAATTAACTTTAATTTGTTAAGCTGCTAGTTATTCACATACCAGATAGCCTCTGTAAAATGACTGAATGATGATAGCCGCTTCTTCATCGCTGAGTAACAATGAGAGTGGCAGTGGGGGACGAGGACTAAGACAGGAAAAAATAAACATATACACTAAGGATCAATTTTAACAAAGATATTTTTCGTTCAGGTGTAAGTACAATTTTTTATAATTACAATATGAACCTCCACTAAATGGCGAACCTCCCATAACAGCCTGTTCTTCCCCAGCAGAATTTCCACACATTTCCTCTTATATTAACCTATCCTTAGTACACTTATGTTCAGATGCAAGAAAACTCGGAATATCCAATCAGACATAAATATTTCATATTTCTATGATTTGCGTTTAAGTGAGGATAAGGGCTAGGGATACTTAGTGATGTCTATTTATACAGGGCATTAACTTGCCATCCTGGCCCCAGTTATTCAAAAGCTGGATAGCGCCATCCATCAGATAAATCACTACCTAGTAAATAAGTATTAGGGAAAGCCAATTGCACTATCTGTTCAGATTTATTTTGTGGATAGCACTACCCACTTTTTGAACAACTGGGGCCAGATCGGCCTTAGAGGCCACATCTCGAAATTGATCATTTAACAGGAAATGATGTAGACACTGATGCACACACTATACTTTACTCACTTTGCTTTGGTGACATTTTTTTTGTTATAGCCTGTTCCAGACTGTCAGATGGTAGGGACATTACAAAAACAAGCTAAGCAAAAATAACATGCGCATGATCTAAGAGAAGAAGGTAGTGGCTCTCTCCTCAAGGCTCCTCTGTGCATTTTTTGCACCACTTTCAGCATGCAAAGAAAGTAGTGTTCGATAGCCCAGGGCTAGTGGATTTTGCTATCAGGCTAGTGAATTCTGTTTTTAACTTGCCCGACAGGCAAGTGATGTTTTTTGAGGAATTCAAATAACAGAAGAACTGAAATCAATTCTGCTAGTCAAAAAGTTTTTGGGGCTAGTTGAAATGATGTCTGGGCTAGTAAATGCTAGCTTCAGCTTGCCCAGATGACAGGCTGTAAAAAGGATTTTCTTTGCACCCTGACTTTTCAAGATCTCTGCACATATTACTATCTTGGAGCCTGGAACAGGCTGTTCTTGCTAGTACCACTTGGTGTTTGTTTTACTGACACATTTTGATTGTGTTGCACATTAATACCAGCTATCATAAGTATCTTTTTCTTTTAGTATTTTACCCTTTCCCACCCCTTCCCACCCCTCTGCAATAGCATCCACTTACCCCTTTCCCCAAAGTGGCCATTGTATAAAAAAGAGTTTTGAATATTAGAATATTTTCCCAGTTTATTTGAAATAAGCATGAATAAACCAATCAATTAAAATGAAGTCTACGACAATTTCTGGGCATGAGTACTTACAGTCACCTCAGAGAACTTACTTTTCTGCGAGTATTGCTTGCACAAAAGGAATGTCTTCAAGCACCACATTTGTTCTATCCTTGTATCTGGGGTTATTTCTGAGAAGAGAATAACTAATGTAAACCGATATGTTCCATAGATTAGTGCTGTTTGATGATGTGTCATCTAATATTGCAAGGAGAAGGAGAAATGAGAATTCCAACATCTACATGTTAAAATCATGCATTTTACCCAAACAATTTCCTTTGTCCTGTTACAAGATTTCACAATGATGGTATTTAAAAACTCTAAAAGTGATAACAAACCTGAATAAGTACTCTGTAAGGAAGTCACATGCATTGAATTTTGTTCTTCTTCTCTATAGTGGAAAAACAGGTGGATACATTATTAAGATGCACTGTATATATGCGTTTAATGACAAAGTGTGAGGTACAGATGGCTGAAATTTTTTTTTTTTGATTTATTTTATTCATTCCTCCAATTCCTAGCTGATACATAGTTATGTAAATATAACTGAGAAAAATAATATAGTAACAGATAAAGATTTACAAAGGAAATAAACGCGTAAAATAGAAATTACAACACTTAAATTGAATTACAGTGTATATTGGAAGGAGAGGAGAGGGGCACATCTAGATAAACTAATATTGTGCCCCTTATGGCTGGAATGACTAAGAAGAGGTCAAAGAGAATTCCAAAAAAACAAGACTCTCAGAACTGTAAATATTATATTTAAGTGCTTTCAGTGTAAAACTATCTTTCAATCAAAATAATGCAATGCAGTCCACTGTGGACTGGCAATTCTACAATTTGATTGGAAAAGTTAAAAACTACTGACTTAACAGCGAAAGAAAGAAAGTCATGTCCGATAGCCCAGGGCTAGTGGATTTTGCAATCAGTTGGGTTAACATTTCAAAATGGGTAACTTTGCTCCCAAATTTCTCCTCTAATACAGTTTGAGTCCTACTAAGGTGGCAACTTCAGGTGAATCAATCCCCATTCTATCTATTTGCTCTGACATCAAAGGGATCTGCTAGCACTTAATTAAATTTAACTCAGTTGGTAAAACCAAGTTAAGCTTTTTTTTGCTCTACCGCTACTGCAGGGCCACAGCTCTTAAATCCTCAGCACAAATTCTGTTGGGCATCATGGATAGATCTACTGTGCAAAGTGAGAGCAGGTGAAAAAGCCAAAAGATCTCCTACCACCTAATTGAATAATAATGCCCACTCTCCTTTCTTCAATGGATTTACCCCAATTATTAAAAATAGTTGAGTGCAGAAGATTGTGGCACCCCAGTTCCCTTACTACAAACTAACCAAATGGTAATTTGTCTGTTATTGTATTTCCCTTTTATGTGGGTTCACACATAAATGTGTGCTGCATTCTCAGCTGATATTGGCTCTTCTATGCTTTGTGCAAGTGCACACTGGGACAAGTCACATGATTCACTCTCTGACTGCTTTGACATGACCCGGCCTTAACAGTAACAGTACATGTAATTCTAGTGTAACAGACAAACCTCAAAGACTTTGTTTTCTTTAGCAGCCTTCAGCATTTGCTCAATTGCTGGTAAAAGAACTGGAAACAGGTAAGCCTCAAGATATTCTCTTGGGCTACCTGTTATCAAAAGAAAACAAAACAAAAATGTTAATAAAAATACATTGACAGATTCTTTATACTTTTGATACTTGTTAACAGAGCAGAAAGCACAATCTTACATTTTGCTTTTCTTGCTCACTAATTTATAATTTCTGTTTTAAAATAATTAAAATAAGCAGGATAAGTAAAATATTAAAATATACGAGCCGGGGAAACTCTTTCAAGCTGTCCAGCAATTACATGTATGTCCATGAAACACTTTTGGTGTACTATCAGCCTGCAAGCAAGCTCCATCTCTCTTTCAAGTCACAAGAGTCAAAAGTCATGCTCAAGTGAGCAACAAAAGATCAGTGCAACTGAAAAAGGAAAGCTTGCAACCATCAAAGAAGGATATTCATTGCACTGTTTTGACTGAAAAAAGGGTGAAAAATAATTTACATCCAGGTTATAAGCAATTCTTAGAAGTAACTGTCAAACAAATTATAGGTCGAACATTCGCTTGAAAAGTAAAATTTCTGGAAATTTTAAAACCAGAGTAAATGGAAAAGAAATTTCCTAGGAAACACTTCCTAAAAATCCAAGAACTGGAAAAACTCTAAAAGCAAAACAGTGAAGAGAAAAGTCAGGTAAACAGAATCAAATGGAACAGAAATTATTGGAGGAACGTTAAGGGTCTACCTTGAATAATACTGTGCACAGTATTATTCGAATGTTAAACCAGAATGTACGATTTTCTGTATTTGGAAAACAACTGGCTTCCATATAGACCTTGTCATGGTTTTCGACGCCATCTTGACGAGTAGGCAAAATCCTTTGCTGTGTAGCTTTAATTTACAGTTCATATTTTTTTTCCAAAACAGCCGTTTTACGGAAATTATTCGACATTGGATTCTCATACAAACACTGTAATTTGTCACGCGTTTGCCTACTCGTCAAGATGGCGTCGAAAACCGTGACAAGGTCCATTCAAACTGTTTTCTGTTATTTTTAGCACCGATAAGTTTAAACACGACATTCATCCGTTATTATTGTTTTGATCTAAGATCCGTTCGCTTAAGGCTTTTTCACAATCTTCCTCTTGTAGCTATTAGACAGCCTCTCTGCAGTGACCGCAAGATTTTAGGAATGTTAGAAGGCGCCAATAGAGAAAGGAGTAAAGGACTGTGAAATGAAACGAATCGAATAAGTGGATATTTGTCCATGTTCGGCTCCTGCTTCTATTGTACCTGGTGGCGATGAATAATGACGTCGAACACCTATGTTATAAAAGATTTTAGCTTTGTTGTCTTACTCTCTCTCGGGTCAGGTAAAGGAGGCGATTCTTGCTTTGGTGGAACCGGTTTCCTGTCCAGTAAAACATAACCAAAGGCCGCTGGATGGCTAAAAGAAGGATCAAACTCTGGAAACATGGAAGATCTCGTTGATGCACCATCATCCCCTTCACGAATTTCAGCGACAGATTCGGAGAGTTTATGCCCATGACGGCCAAAAAACACGGGCGAACTCTTCGCAGCATCGTAACTTCCTATTGACAACTGTTCTTCTTCCGAATAGTCCCTTTTGCTGCTAACTCTCGTTGCATTTAGTTCGAGCATCTCGCTAAAGATGGAGGAAGACGGACTACAGGGTGCCGCATACATTTTAGCGAAGAAAACTTGATTATTTTATAATTGACAAAATTTGAGTTTATCTTTCGTCCGCCATTTTGTCTAGGTTGCCAATGGTAACTCCCGCTGGCCAAAGTTGCAGT